TAGTTGTTTCCGGAAAACGTGCAGCCAAGTATCGTACAATATCTTGGAGAAGAGATAATCGATAAAACTTTTGAATTCATTTCTCATACATATTTAAAATATGCAGTATGTGTATATGTTTGTTCTGTGAAAAGTTTAATTTAGGTCAACTGGTAATGGTAACACACACCAAATTTTCCAAACTAACTTAGGGCTGTGATAATTAGTTTTTAAAAATATCATAATCAATTCCAATATTTCTCACCTGTATTACCAAAGACCACTGCTACATGTAGCGGTGTTGCACCGTTAGGGGATATCTCATCCTTCGCAACGGCAAACTTTCGTCTATCCAAGGCTTGTTGCAAGGCAAGTAAACTGCCTTCACGAGAAGCTTCATGAACTCGACGTATTTTGCTCTGCAAGAGAATAGAAAATATGAGGAAAATCGGTTTCAAATATTTTTCTTTGAAATAAATAGTTGTAATTTGTGATCTAATAATTTGTTTCGAAATAATTTTAAACTTGAAAAAAAATCTTTTCATACTTTTCAATTTCTCTATTTGAAAAATTATTTTCGCCCTTTTTTGAATCCTTTCATTAACTCTTCATATGCATCACTTACCATATAATTAGGCACATTATTGAGAAATGCCTGTATATCAGGATTATGTGACTCCATATTCACAAGCTTATTTCCATCACCGTTAAGTACAATTTGAGCTAACTGCTCCATATCGCCAGATTCAATTGCCTCTCGTACATCGGACTGCTTGAATTATAATATTATATGACAAGCATGAACAAGCATGGAAATGGTATTTAAATAAATTACAATAACAATAACAACATTAAACACTCACGAAAAACGAGAAAAAAAAATCAAAAAGCTAAAAATATAAAAAATATATAACAAATTTTGAATATTTTTACAAAAAATAACGACTCTCACATACAAACAAAATCTAAAAACCAAACTTAAGAAATGAATAATTAAGGTATTAATTTTTAAATTGTATAATTAATTCATTATAAATGTTTAAATACAATATTTAGAAATTAACTTGTATGCTTAGCGTTAATACTTCATGTACATAAGCAGCGGATTGTGACTGAACTCTATTATCCTCCGATGCGCCAGCTACGAAGCCTTCAATTGCCAGCGATGATGTTGGCGAACTGGCAGCATCGCCATTATCATATTTATCTTCGTTGTGATTTTCATCGAGCTTTTCGGCACTTCGATGGTGTGTAACCACCAGCACCTCGTCATCAGGTTCGGCATCAGACTGCGCCTCAGGTTCGGGTTCATTGTCAGATTCGTAACCATTTCTCGATTCATTTTCACTCTCTGAGGCTGCTGCTGTTTCGTTTTCGCGATTATGCTATGTGGAAAATATTCATTGATAACAAAATTTCTTAACTTTCAACTACAACTTCTTTGAGCTCATTCTAAGTAGAAACAAAATGCAAAAGATCTAAAATTTACTGCACACATATTTTACTACATTTTGAGGTTCTAAAAACATTGTGATTATGCTTACTATGGTGCTGCGCTATTTTTTTGAAAATGAAAATCTATTGATGTGAAAAAGGTTAAAAGTAGTAAGTGTTTGGTAAAAACTTCAATTTATGGACTTTTTGATTAGACCACAGTTTTAAATTTGGAAGACTTCATCAACTAATATCCTTGAAGAGATGTTCGGACTACATAAATTAGTAAGGAGGAAGCTTAAATAAGACTATTTACACTTTTAAATTTTTACTAAACTGGACATGTTGTATTAATTTTTCTTTATCTATTTTTGGATTTTATTCTGTTTTATTTTATGTTGTTTATTTTATGCAATTAGAATTTATTTTATTTTATTTTATTATATTTTATTTTATTTTATTTTATTTTACTTTATATTAATTTATTTTATTTTATTTTATTTTAAATTATTTTATCTTAATTTATTTTATTTTATTTTTTTCATTTTATTTATTTTTATGTCATTTGATTTTATTATATTTATTATTTTTATTTTACTTTATTTTTTATTTAAATATTATTCTGCTTTATAATAATTTTATTTTATATTATTTAATTTTATTTTAATATATTTAAATTTACTTTATTTATATTTTTTATTATTTTTTTTATAATATTTTTTTTATTTCACTTTTTTTGTTTCATTTTATTTTATTTTATTTTATTTTATTTCCGACTAGCCATTAAAATTATTTGCCAAGAGATAAAAGTTTTCACTGTTACATTACGCCCGACAATTCTATAAAACACCAATAAGAAGGATTTAAATTTTCTTGTTGGATACCAGAACTGCATTAACTTATTAGCATTAGCACGCGTGCAAAGGATAAAGATAAAAATTCCACCACAAGGCCACACAAAACAAATAGGAAAAACTTTAAACTTTGAAAACATTTATTCTAATATCAATAAAATAAATCAAACTTTCAATGGCAATTTCTGTGCTTAAGGTGTTATCAAATGTATTTTTCATTAAATAACAATATACATATGTACTCCCATAGGTATGTTTACCTCGACTAACGTCAGGAAGATCCAATATTTATGATAAATTGGCGCAACGCAACACATGTTACCGGAACACAAATCTGCAGCACCTGCCGGGGAAGTGCCAATGACAATGGCGTTCAGTATACAACTGCAACGGTAAATGCAACGTGCCAACACTGACTGCCTAACATATGAAATTGGCAATGCGAAAAATCTACATTTAACATTTGGCATATCACAACACCATGAGAACAACAAATACTTTAGGCTAGATTTTGACGTTTGCATGTTCTCACGCCATTTGGCATACGAGACTCGAGGGAAACGGAAATACGGTATTTGTATGAGAAAAGCGTTAATACAAATATTACCCACATTTATATAGCGAAAATTTGTCAAGATTATAACAGCGAGCATTCTTCGATAAGCGACTCTCGCTTAGTAACGGACGTGGGGGGAGCATACTGATATTTTCCTTTTTGTTGTGGAAAAAAATTTTCTAACTTTTCAAACTAACTATTAAATTTAAAACAAAACAACCGTTGCAATATTTTTTACTATCTCATAACACTCTCTGATGACAGCATTTTGGCTTACTTGCCTTACAAATTTAGTATTAATATCCAATTGTAAGTAACTAGTAAGATGGCTAAAGATTTTTCTTATCCTAATTCAAAAGCTTCCTTATGGGTATACCGTTATATCCACCGTTATATGACTTATTTTGTCAGCCAAAAATGATTTAGTCTCTCTCTAAACACTCTTCTAAGCGAAAAATTAGATTGTTGATACTTTGATTCTGCTTGGAAAGAATGGTGGAAGGAACTTCTGTTACGATCCCGATCAATATTGTACCAATGTGTGGCATTGTGAAAATGCCGAATGTAGTTTTGATTTGATAATCATATGGTGATAAATTATTTAATATGTAAATTAATTTATACTGGGTCGACCAAATTAAAAATTATAGAAAATTAGTTAATTGAAAAAAAATAACAAAAATTTCCCAATCGCGATCCCCTCACGGTGGGAAATATCAGACTCTCCGAAGTATTTCTTAGATGAAAAAAAAGCTCCTAGTAAAAATTCCCTTCATTTACAGTAAAAGAGAACCTCAAAACCGAAAGACGGAAGAGTTCAGTCGAAAATCGCTTCAGCTGGCAACCTTAATATGAGATAAATGTATTTTACTTTCATATATATAGAGTTGATTATGTAGCCTTGAATAGTTTATTCGTGAAAGACAAGGATATCGGGTGATTCACATTTCCTGTCGCCGAAGCAATGAAATTATTGCCATCAAGCGTCATGGTGCCATTAGAACAGCGAATCGATCTCAGAAGATACCAAAAATATGATTGAGGGCTGAAAGTTTCAGATTTCCATTTCTAAGTTTTAAATTCAGTTCAAAAAGAACTAATAAAAAAATTGTTTTTCTTAAAATCTCCAAAAGCGACTGATCCAATGCACGGATTTGTTGTTGGAGATAATAAAAACTTCATAGGAAACCCAAATTTGCAGTGGTAAGGACTATTTCCTTTCCAGCTAGTTCGTCGGCCTCACAGTTCCCTGGAATGTCCCTATGTGAGGGGACCAAAATCACGCTCTTTTCGTCACAATCGCGAGTTTTTTTTTAACTTCTCCGTATCCCATTGTCAACTTTGAGGTGGTCTGATGGCATTGAAGTGATTTAATTGGCCATCTGCGAGTTAGAATAAAAAATTTAGTAACCCAGAAGCGACTACTATTATTGAGGTTAGTTCGGCCGCTGATACTTTAATGAGAGTTTTATTAAAAAAGTATTGGCCTGGCTGTGTAGTCAATCTGAGTATGGTGTAGAGTTTTATATTTGTATGTATTCTCTACTGCGGTTTCTCAAAGTGTTGAGTTATATTTAACTTTATCGCATTGTTGCTGGCGTATAGTTTTCTACAAATGGTTTTTTTATTTTTTATTTAATTTTATTGAATATTTCTTTTCAAAAACTAGCAATAAAATCGAAAAACAAATAAATAATTACACATGTCTGACGGCAGAAAATTGAAGCTAACTTCGAGCGCTTTTGCTGGCGTTGAAGGGAGCGCTTTCATTGAGAGTATGGAATCCACCACACTGAACTTGCGCTTGTAAGTAGTTGTGACTGGACACGGTGGATAATAGAGAGTGACTCAGTGTAGAACACTCTGGATTTTATTATCACTTTTATAGACAGTATGCGCAATGTTGGGTCTTAATCTCCAATCTCCTGGATCGTCGCTCTGTAGGCATAGAACGTGCTCAAAGCTTTCCCACTGCCTTCTTTCCTGCTTCAGTTGCAGGTTAGCTTACGGTCAGGGATTACTTCTACCATTTTCATTATTGTGACCCGAAGAAAAAATTATAAAAAAAATTATATCGAATACAAATAAACAAACAAATAAAGTTTATAAAAATTTTAAAGGGGGAGAATAAATTATTTTCTTTGTGACCCGAACATAAAAATTCGGGGATATAAACACATAATCGATCAAGTAAAAATCTCCATCTCTAAAACTATTCAATACGAAGATCAGCTGTTTGCAGATTTCTGTCAAACGGGGAGAACTACCGATCCATCAACTGTATTTTCCACAACATAAATGAAATATCACGCACATGGAAATGCAGAAGAGGAAGATCTACCAGTAGGTGCAAGTAAGGTGTGGAAAAAGTTTATATGTATTAAACAATTTTATATTCTACCAAGGTGTGTACTCTACAGGAGAAGAAGTGAGGGATCAATTTAACACAATTACGAAACACTTTTAATTTAGTTTAAACGTTTACATATATTAAGTAATAATTCATAAATACATACGTATATTTTTCAATATTTTGTAACTTACACAATTTTCTAGCACATAAATGTGTTTGTTTTTTGTTGATATTTGGTTTTTCTAAATACATTTTTTTTTGCGCTTAGAACTAGTATAAAATTGCCTCTCTTTTAATTTGCAGAGAATTTTAATTAACATATCAAATATTTGCTACAGTTTTTGCATCAACATTCAAATAAGACGAATTGGGGTGTGTAAAATTTGAAAAACTATTATTTTTTAAATACGTAAATACGACATATGAATGAATTTGAGTAGTGCATTGGCTACTTTAGTACGTATACGATATTTAATTTAGCTACATTTTTATAAATTAGTTTTAGCAGCATACATCACAAGAACTATTACAGTTGGTTATACACACATATTTTCATTTTAGTAGAATTAAAAAGATTTTAAAATTTTTCTACTCTTAGTATTTAGTTAGGTTAGGTTTTGAGACAACTTATAAAGAGTTTGCTTGAATATTCTATTGAAAATGGCAAGGAAAATGTTTATCTCTATTTTTCACGTTTCAAAGTCTAAACTAATCTCGCTACGCAGTGAGAAATAAGTGAGACTTGCGCAGAAAAGTGAGGTTGAGTTATAATTTTGTTTTCCAGGATTTTGATGTGCATTTTTTCTGTTCTATTATAAGCAAAGTTTCGTTTTTGTTTCTTATATTTATGCTTCGAAGCATTTTCGTTTTATCAACTTGTTTTTTAGTTTGTTTTCTTTATGTGCCATTAGAGCATGCCAAATTGTACCTCATCATCGTCTTCATCATCATCATCATTATCGCCTTCACTTTGTTCTTCGCCCTCAATCAACGCTTCATGCTTGTTCTTCCCACTACCGTTACGTTTTGCACCGCTGCCATTACGCTTGCCTCTCGTCGGTTTGGCTGTTGTCAAGCGTGGTATTTTCACACTCTGCTGTTCACTTGCGCCACTTGCATGCTCTTTTATTGTTGTCAATTTCTCTGTGCTTAATCTTTCATCGTTCTCTTTGTCTGTTTGTGCGGTGTAGTCTTCTGTGTCGCCATTTTCTTGTGCATTTTCGTTATTTAAGTCGTTGTTTTTGTTCGTTTCTTCTACTACTTGCCTTGTTTCGTTACTCACATCCTTCTCCTCAGTCTTTTCGTTTACAGTGGGTGCTTCTTGTGTTGTGCTTTTTGCTTCATCTTCCTGTTTGTTTTGAGTTTCTTTCATTATATTTTCAGGTTGTGCGCTTTGTGTGTTTTCGTTGGATGTTGTATTATTTTCTGTTTCTTTACCCTTTTCTATGCTTTTTTCTTCTGTATTAGTCTCTGTTTCTTTACCGTTTACTATGCTTTTCTCTGTCTCCTCTTTGATTTCCTTGTTTTTATCTTTGATTTCATCGCACTTGATTTCTTTGACGGTTTCATAATCTTTTTCGTCACTTAAACTTGTTTCTTCTTTCACCTCATTATCAGTTTCTACTTCTTTCGTTTCATTTTCTTTCCCTTTTTCATCATTTTTTGCCTCTTTTATACCCTCATCACTCTTTTCGGTAGTGTCTTCTTTTTCATTTTCTATTTTATGTTCAGTTGCTTCTTTCTCTTCATTGTCTTCTTTTTCTTTATCGTCACTTAACTTTTCACCATTATCGGCACTTTCCTCTTCGTTTTTCAAGCTTTCAGCTGCTTTGTTTTCGTTTTGCTTTAAATCCTTTTCATTTTCTTTGCGCTCTTTTTCAATTGTTTCTCTCTGCTGAAATTTAATTTTGTTTTCACTTACATCAATTATTTTGTCGTTTAGTTCTTTTTCTGATCTTGCATTATCTTTCTCTTCTTTACTAGCCACCTGATCATTAGCTACTACTGCTGTTTCGTTCTCAACCAAGCTGCCGGTTTCCTCATCATTTTCTTTGTTATAAACATCCGTATCTGACATGGTTTCTTTTTCTTCCACCGCATTCGTTTCCTTTGCTTCGTTTTGTTCTGAAAGTTTGCTATCTTCCTTCTTCTCGACAGCACTACCAATTCGTGGTTCAATCTCTAGCTCAGCTGATTTTGTGTTCTCATCATTTTTCTCATCGTTTTTCTCTGCAATTGTTTCGTTTTCCGCTGTTTCATGTTTTTCAGAAAAAATTTCTCTCTGTGCATCTTTGCTTTCCAACTCATTTTCGGTATCATCTGCAGTTTTCTCAGTTCCTTTTTGTGCATCACCGTCACTTTCGCCCTTAGTCAACTCCTCTCTTTTGTTTCCTTTCTCCCTTTCCTCTACTGTCTCTGTCTGCTCTATTTCCTTCTCTGTCGTCTCACTCTGCTCAGCATTAGAGCACTCGCTCCCAGCTTCGCCTTTACTTTCCTCAGTCGTTGCCGCCGCTCTATCGCCCTCTACCGGCTCAGCTTTCTCTCCACTCCCGTTTAGTGTTGTTGTTGTGGTTGTTGTTGTTTCATTTAAAGTTTTCATATTAGTCTGCAAAAGTAAACAATTGTCGACTGATATCTTTCTGTACGTTTGAGTTTAAAATAAATAATTGTTTTTGTTTTTTTGCAAAATTCAAATTTTTTCTTTTTCTGTTTGCTTTTTTTTTTTGTTTTGCACAGAAATAAAAATTAAAAATCTTAAATTAACAAATATTTGTGTTCAAGCCGCTGGCAGGAAAAAAACAACAAAATCCAAAAAATAGAAAAAGTGTTAAACGTACAATATGTTTTTGTTGTTGGCAATTTTATAAAAATATATTTTTTGAAATATAAAAAAATATTGAAAAATAGAAAGACGCATCAAGGCCGACAATGGCTTACTTTTGACAGTTGTGGGCAAAATAGTCACTAATTTAATACTTCTAATCAATTTTTGCATTCTTCTGGTTGGCATATATATATATATATATATATACAAAAAGGACTTTTTTGGCTAAAAAAAAATTAAGGGCAAATGCCAATTTAAAAAAAAATCCAATTGCAAATCACATAGAAAAAACAAATATTTTTTATTAAAGGTAAATAAAGATTTTTAAGTTACTACAGAAAAAAATTAAGCTACGAAAACACAACAACAAACGAAAGCTAATTACATTTTTCCGCTACTTGATGCAATTTTTCTAAAGCGCTTGCAACACTCACAAGCATTAAAAGCTTATTATGTATGTGCGTGTGTACAAAAGTTTAAAAAATTGAAACTAATTGAATCCATCAGTGTATGTGTGTGTGTGCATGAGTAGTTACTATACAGATACATAGGTAAGTAGTTATAAATGCTCAAGGAAGTGTTCTACTTACCTTCTCAGCTGTGGCTTCTACCTCAGCGTCGGCATTTTCAACTGCTTCCGGCTCTGCAGCAGCTTCATCGGTAGTCTCAGCTGCCTCGAGCTCAGCTTCAGCTTTAGCTTCTGGCTCCTCGTGGCCATTTTCTTCACTTGTCGCCATTTCACCATTTTCTTTTGGTGTCTCCTCGGGAGCAACTTCAACTACTGCTTCTTCGTCATTGTCTTTTGCTGGTGTTGCTGGTGCTGATTCATCGCCATTGCCAGCAGTTTTAGGCGTGGCAGGTTGTTCTTCTTCGGTGGCGCTTATGCTTTATGGTTTTATGTTTGGTTTATGATTTCGTTTTAATTTATTTTTTTTTTTTGTCACGCAAAACATTTTGTGTTCGATTTCGTGTAAGCAGTTTAGTGAGTTGGGTGTTTTATAAGAAAAAAAGTAGTTTATTTCCCCACGTAAATAAAAAATTATCTAAAAGCTCTACTCAAAAATAATATGCAAATCTGCTCAAAAAAAAATATTTTACTACTTCAAGCCGAGCGGATTTGACTTTTTATAAAAAATATTGTAGTAAAATTTTTCTCAGTAGCTTCTACGCGTTCAAGCTTTCAAAGTTATTTTCGTAATCAATCATGCAAAAATAATTAATTGAATAAAAAATGTCAATTTTTGAAGTTAGTTTGTATTTTGTGATTTGAAACCAATGAATATTAGTGTAATAAAATAATAATATATTTCCAAATTTTGATTTTAAATTATATTTTTATACCTAACTAACTTTGCAAATATCATATCAATATTTTTATAAAAAATTTTAATTTATTTTGTTATTATTATTAGCTTTAGTTCTGTACTACAAATGAAATGTTGAGCTTTAAGCTCAAGCTAAATGAAAAAACTCTCTTCATGCTAAAGATCGTGAACTCACAATGCCAAACCTCAAATAATTTGTATATTGACAAATATTAAATTCAAAATTTTATTGAACTAAATCTTAATGCTTTTAGAGGTGTTTGCAATCGAGCTTTAGAACAAACCCGTCTTCTTGATATTACTGAGAGCTCTCATTTCGATGGAAATATTTACAAAAATCAGAAGTTTACTCTTAATAAAATTAAGGCATTCAAAACACAAGCTCTAAAAAGTTTTCAGAATTTTTTTCGGGGATCTGAAAATTATCAGAAGCTTTCAACTATGATAATGAGATCAAACAAAATTTGGGAGAACCCATTTTAAAACCGACTCTAAGCACTAACTACCTGGTTATTGTGCTGGATAACATGTGATCATGAGACTACAATTAACGTTCTGCAAGTATGTTACAAAATGCGCCTCTCCTGTTCTCTCTTTGTTGTGCTCTTTAAGCCAATACAGGTATTTGGAGTCTATTTATGACATGAAAAGCTCGTGAGAAAAAGTCTGTCGGCCACCCGGAGACGACTTAGAATAAAATGTATTTCCTTTTAGCGAAAATAAAGCAAAACTAGTGAATTTGACCAAAAACTGCTTATTATATATTTTTATATATAAGTGCCAAACAAGTGCAGAAGAGCTCAAAATCTAGGCCAACAGGCCGTGGCACCCCCTCAACCTAGGTCTGGTAAGGTACCACAGGCATATCAATACCGAGAATAATATCGGTTGGTTGTTAGCTGGATTGAAAGTAAGTGCCTGAAGACTGCAACTGAGTTGTATAAGACTTGACGTTGGCCGACCATACGCAAAGGTATTGATTTATTAAACAAATTACATTTCCGTTGCATACTTCAAGGTGCATTTTTTCCAAAAGTGTGACTAACAATCTGATGATTTTGTAATTATTTTACTCACGAAAATTTATTCTGTATATTTTTTGTTTTTTATGATCTTCAAAAATTAACATTTTTTTCAAAAAAAAAAAATATATTTACAAAAGGAAACTACTTTATAGTTTTATGACTACTAATTCTACTACTAATAACAAAGTCTCTACACATAAACCACGCAACAAATACTCACCCATCGTTTAAATCCACCTCAGAGGTATTTTCAATACTGTCGTCAGTGGAGCGACCATGAAAACCATTCGTATCTGGTATTTTAATATCTAATTTCTGTTAAAAATGAAAAATCGAAAAACGAGCACGAAAAAAAACAACAATGAAAAGGGGATGGGTAAGGGAGGGAGTCAAGAAAAGAACTAACAGACAAAACTCGAGTTGCGTACATGCATAAAACTATACCAAACATACATATGTAGTATATGCATCAGTATGTACTCGTATGTATTACAATTATTGACAAATCGAAAATGTTTTTTTTTTTTTTTTTTTTTTTCAAATAAAATTTCAATAATAAATTCAGCAGCTGACACAAAAACTAAAAACTAACTTACCTTGCCACCATCGCTGGTATCCTCGCACAATGCCTCCCAATCGGTGGCAACATCTGGTGAGACACGTGGCGCCTCGGGCACATAAACCAAGAAGGCACGTTCGATTTCATGCGGCTTGTGGCGATAGTAAGTGGGCGATTTCATTTTCTAAAAATACATAAATACATATGTATATTGTACGTTGAAGACAAAATGTGGATTGAATGATTTGGAGCACTTTCTAAAAATTACAATTTAGCGAATATTTGAGTGTAACTTTCGGTTTTCAAACTGAAAACACACGACACTTTGACGCATTGCACGCAATTGCATTGAAATATGGAACTAGCTGACGTAAAAACTCGTATTTTCCAATAATACTAATAATACTAATAATAATAATAATAATAATACTGCTCCACTGCACTTACATAATCCATGGCCTCCTCATCGCAACCGGCTTGCGTGAGCAACGTATAACAGCGCATATTATTTTTATGACTTGCCGCCCAATGTAACGGTGTTTTACCCGTTATATCCGTTTCGGCAGCACCATCCGGCCAGATGCCAATCAGATATTCCAATATCTTAGTATGGCCAAGACCCGCGGCTTTATGTATGAGATTCAGGCCGTTCGCGTCGCGGCAGGTAATTAGAGCGGGTGGCACGGGTGGCTCCATTTTTGCCTGCAACGTTTCCAAATTATTGTCGATAACGGCTTGATGGACGTCCTTGATTGAATTCTAAATATAATAGAGCGAAAAATAATTTAATGGTGGCGTAAGTGGTAAATAGAAAAAATTTAAATTCAATGTAGATAGTAAAAAACAATTTATATAATATTACAAAAATATCTATTTACATATATATATATATTATATGTAACTTACCATCACATACGGCACAGCGGCCAAAAACCGTTTGACGCGCGAATTTGTGCTCGCCTGTTGACATAATCGACTACCTTGGCCCGCCCACAAGATGCGCGTCAGCTTACCAATATCCTTTTCGTGCATCCATATTCTGATTGTAGATAATTTTACTGAAAATTCTGTAAAATATAGAAAAATATAAGCAAATGCAACAACAAAGGTGTGTAAGAAATTCAATTAACGGTAAGTTCTTGGGTGTGGAAAAGTTTTACTAAGTATTTAGTGAACTGCTGTTCTCAAAACTATTACTTACAAAGTACTTTTCTCGTTAAACTTTTTGAGTTTTTTGATTCTTCTTTAATATACCTTCATCTGTAATACTATACTTTTGGCGTGTTGGCATGCCATTTCAATTTAAGATTTATTTCAAGTAAGCGCATTTCTTGCAATAGTTTCCTTGAATGCTTATGTGAAATCAAATTCAGTGCACGTATATAAGTACTCGTTAAAGATCGTAGGGTTGTTCACGTGTTTAATTTTTGTGAGAAATATTTATATATTTCTGATTTTAATTTAAACAAAATTAATTTTCTACTCAATAAAATATTTATTCAATTCGTCTTAAAAGTCTTTGAATTGTAAAAATTCTTTGTATATATTGTAGTAAAAGAAAAAATGCATGAAAGCTTTTTATTTCATAATTTTTATTGATTTCGATACATAAATATTCCAATTATCTGTTTTTGTATGGCTGAAAGCAGTACGTTTACCTTCCTTTCCTTTACTAACACATTAACAGAACTGTACCATTGTTTTCCTTTTAATAAAATGTTACATGTTTATTGTATTGCTCAATTTAACTATTGATATTCTCCCACATGCAAAGTAAAATATACCAAATGTTAATTCATTGAAATTAATTTTTAATAGGGCAATTGCATTTTTCAATTAGTGAAAAGGGTTAGTTGGCAGTTAAATGGCATGGAATTCATATATGCACTACATGCGTGTAAACAAATGACGAATGAGTTATTTGTGAGACTTGAGCAATTTTTTTCAAAGCTGCCAGCCAGTAAGGTACGCACGAATTTTATTTTTTAATTTCATTTTCTTTACTTTTATTGAATTTAATTTATTTTATTTTAATTTATGTGATTTTATTTTACTTTAGGTTATTTTTTATTTTATATATTTTTATAAATTTTTTTTTTTGCTTTACTTTGATATATCTAATTTTATTTTATTTTATTTTTTTATTTTGTTTTATTTTATTTTAACTTCTTTTATATTATTTTATTTTAATTTATTTCTTTATTTTGTGTTATTTTATTTGATTTTATATTTTTTTTTGTGTTATTTTATTTGATTTTATTTTCTTTTATTTTATCTTTCTATTTTTTGTTATTTTATATGATTTTATTTTATTTGATTTAATTTTATTTTATTTTATCTTTCTATTTTGTGTTATTTTATTTCATTTGATTATATTTTATTTTATTTGATTTTTTTACTTTGTGTTATTTTATTTGATTTATTTTTTTTATTTTGTGTTATTTTATTTGAATTAATTTTACATTTTTATTTTTTGTTATTTTATTTGATTTCATTTTATTAAATTTTATTTAATTTTATTTTAGTATTAGAAGAATTGGATCAGTTGATCAACTCTACGTATACGCAACCAATTCTAAATGTCTACGAAATGTTTTGTATGCAGAAGCAGCGCATTTGAAGTTTTTATGAAACCTTAATTATCTATAATTTGGTAATGATTGTCAGGACGTATGAGTAACTAGTAGCCAAATACTCGAAAAAATTTAAGATTATACCAAATTGATTTCGGCAGTGATAGCACAGAGTACATACGTGCGATCGACAATAGTCCTAGCGATTTAGCATCAATAAATAATTATCTTTTATTTGATTTAAAATTTTTGGACAAAAGTATTTTTTAAAAACCTTTTTCCAATTTAAAGTAATTTTATCTCCGTTTTCTTTCCAGTTCATCTAAAATACAAAAATAAAATAAAAAATTTGGTTCGCCTAATTCAGATGTATCGCACGACCTCCATCACCGGCCCCGTTTCACAAGTTCGGACTGTATAGGCTACACAAAACTTATCACAACATTGGAAAATTCTATTTTTTTTTCTTATATTAATAATTGTGTTTTTACGCTTAAAGTAAACACATTTTGTCTGAATAATTTGTTTGGCGCAACTATTGTATTTCCTACCCTTTCAAAAACCAGCTTTTTTCGGGTTATAAGGTAGACTACTGCCTTAATGTCGTTGTTATTGTCATTAGAATTGCATTAAAGTTAAACTGCTCATTTTGGTAAAATATTTAGTTTATTTCTGCTTATATATATTTTACTCTATTTGTAGGAAAAAATGTTTACCAAACCTAAATTTAGAACCCTTGTTTACTTTGTGAAGTTAAATAGTATAATATATTATATTATTTTATAGTGTTTTTGGAGCAATTGCTCACTAACCAGCTTTGTTATTTCCTTTCATCATTTGTTTCATGAAAATATTTGCTAGTCAAATTTATTAACACATACCGTCTATGTCACGCTTCCTTCGTCCTTGATTTGATGCTTGCCCGTTCATTGGTAGAACTATAGTCGGAAAAAAAGAAAAAAATAGTCATTTTTTATTAAATAAATTTTATTTAAAGAAATCAAAAATCAAATATAATTGCTTAACATTGCAACAAATGCTTTTACACCTTTTAACTTTAACGTAATAACAGTACAAATAGAAAAGCAACTCTTTACGGAATTCAGTAAATAAAACTCATATATCGCAGCCGTGAACTTGCAGGCTTTCGTGTCAATCAATCAATAAAATAATTTTCTCTTTTGCCTAAGTTCACCTTACTAAATTTATTTATATTTTCCTATCAATGTTAGTTACAATACACACAAGTTCACTTCCCTTTGAGGTTGTATAATTTCTACAAATATTGTAACTTCCAACAAATAACACGTCTTCTGCATGCGCTTACCGGTCAACAACTGATTTTTGAAAGCGCTCAGCGGCTAACAAATTGCCGGCCGAAAAGGTGTCGAAAATTCTACTATACAACGTCATTACCATCACCACCAACCAATCTCCGCTGGTAACCCAAATGACCACCAAACCACTCTGGCTGACCTCTCGAATGGAGTAAGTCTAGCCGACAGTGCAGCCAAGGTACCGGAAGCCAAGCGTTGAAAGGTTATTTTCATGGTATTGAGTGGCAGCGCGGCGTAGGTGTGGTTGAGCGATGTACCAAAAAAAAGGAAAAAAAAGAAGAAAGTAACTTTCGCTGCTTCAAATTAAATGCGACATTTCTTTTTGAATTTGTAGCTAATGAAGTGGGATTGCTGAAGAATACCGACAGCGCAGCGGTGAAAAGAAAAGAGTATTTTTTTCTACTTCGCTGCTGCTTTGGCTGCGAAACAAAACAAGGTCAAGCTTATAATGAGAATTAAATATAATTGTATAATACTCACTCGCACTGCTACCTATATTTTTGGTGAATTAAATGGAAATTTTTTTTGCTGTGGTGAGGAAAATCAACAATTTGTTATTTACCTTCTACGAAACACTTTTGTGTGGCGCTAATTTATTAATTTCACCACATCTAAAAATTTCCATGCAGCTATATGTATTATTTGCATAAAAATAACAATAAATCAACAAATTATTTTCAGGGAAATGCTGATGTGAACACTTATTACGAATAAATATTTTATCACTTTTGGGCAACAGTGCGTATACGCAACCTCTACTATATGGAAATAATAAAGTACTAATGAGCTAATTTTTTGTTTAATTATCTACTTTGAAGCTCAGACCACTCTTTTATAGGCAGCACATATAATAATTTACTACCATTTGTCATAAATAACCAAATATGTACGCTAAATAAACACTCTTCCTAACTCACACCCTCACATGTCGGTCATATGTATTGCATTAAAAGACAGGTACTTATTGACTTTTAAATATGCCAAGGTGAACAAATATAAATCCATATATATATTATAAGGCACTAGCATCGTATGTTACTAACGAAAAGTAGGTCTACAATTAAATATATGTGCCGTATTCATAGGCTGAAAAAAGGAAAAGGAAATGAGAAGGAAGTAAATTTGAATAACGTTGAAAATGGTGGGCGAAATCAAAGCCAAGGCTATACATATTTAAGCAACATTTAAGTGAGTGTTTTCTTAAATATACCAATTTCCTACAAGTCTACATTTAAATATGCTAAAGACGACCTCTAGCCGTTGTAGCCTTTTCTTGGTAGCAATTGTTATTTTTAGTCTTCTTTCTTAGATATTTGATTAGCTTGCGGTTGTGGAATACGACGTATTTGCCATAAGAATGCATAAAAGTAGAAGCTAATAGAAAAATCTTATTTTTTACCAGGAGTTAAAGAAAATATTTTTTTGTTTTCATTGGTTTCCAATAATATTAAAAAAATGAGCAAAAAATTGTACATGGGATTTTTTGGACACATAGCTTTCAAGCAGACATAAAAAGCATAAAACTTCATGTTATTGCGTTGTTATAGAGTTAAGGGCTCGCCGTTATGTTCTAAGAATGATTTCGGTCAATTGACTGCCGCCACTTGCTCGAATGAACTCCAACCGGAAGACATAATTTTCGACCAAATTCTAAACCAATTGGTACCATATGTCACCGTTAACTTGCCGAATATTATCTGCCAAGTGTCTTGAATTTGTAAGCTTTGACAAGCGATTTCACATAACAAAAAAGAAAACAGTATAGCGATGTTAAATCGAACGCTCTTGAAGGCCACGACGCTCATCAAAATAAATTTCTGGAACAAATTTGTTATTTTTCTGGCGAACCAAACAAAAATTATGTACACTAGAAGAAAGAGCCCGTCATCGACACTATGGGTTTACAGTAATAGGCGGTGACACCAAAAGGTGCCTGGGTGGAAACCGAAAAGCCAATATCATATTAAGATCTTCCTAAAGTAAGCTCTGCCAGAGAAAATTTATGGCATTGGGAAATTATTTTCAAGTGGGAGAGGCAAAACTAGATTATAGGATCGGATGAAGAGCGTACTTAAAAAGTCTTGATATTAATAAGTACTTTCCTATACCGCATAATTGTATTGTTTTCCAAGAGCCGCTAGCTGCTTTGACGGTAAATTGTCTCAAAATAATGGTACTCTCAAATTATATATAGATATCTTGATCATGATGGCTAAATAGTTCTCTCAGAACCTAACATTTGTGCCTAGATACAGTCATAAGTAAGAGTAATGAGATCTTCAACGATCCTGAAAAAAAATCCATCATGGAAGAGTTTGTGGGTGCAGCTGTCTGCTTGTAAGCTCACTGTAACGCTTGTTAACTTAGGTGAAAAAAGGCCCAAAGGTTGTTGGGATATGAATAGGATAATATGGCGTCAATATGGGGCAAAAGAACGTTACAAGAGTTTAATCGACAAGCATGCGGAGGGACTGAGCATACTATCAAATGATTTCTGCAAAAATTGCAAATATAAAGAAGAACCTGAAATCCTACCGAGGGCCGGCCACATATAGAAAAATGGCCATGATGTTATACATGATAGTATTAATTAAAACATATTCTGCTTTGTTCCGACTTTAATTCAAAAAAGGTATCAAAATTATAATTCAACCAGATTTTCGAAGAGGCTATTTTTTGCCTAAATTAATGTATAAAAAAATAAATTTATTGAAAATATTACTCCGGCAGTATTTGTCAAGACTTCCAAGTGTATGGACATGAAATAAAATCTTCACATAAAAATCCATAGTACTTGCTGTGGCGACTAACAATAAGCTGTAGATGCCTTCAATTGTTAGAAAAAACATCAAGACACAAATCAAAAAATTTATGGAGGCATTCGGCCGAAAATCACTTTTGTGATTTCAACGCGCCAAAAAACTTACTTGACAAATCGCAACAATAAAATCTGCTAATTTTTTATTTCAACGCAGAATAATTCTCATAATAAAATTTTTTTAGTCATATCTTGGTATGGCAAATCAAGTTTTTTATGGCATATAATTGTACAACCGAGTATATTTCTCACTTTCTTTTCTTTTGACCCTTTTCTATTCTACTATAAACTATTTTTAATTTATGCATCTTGCTCTAAGCTAAATATTTTCCATATGCATAAAGGTGTTATTAACTTGTCTACGCTAATTTCTATTGCGTTTTCCTTAGCAAGTATAATACATGCAATATATAGTATACATATGTACATATGCATTTATGTGATAATTACCAGTAATATTCTTGCGAATATAAGCAACTTTGTTATGCATTCATATCGTATATTAAGACATGCACATATACTCACTCTACATATGCGCAAATGCCACTCTGTTAGCTAGTATATATTTCTAACCATTTACATATATACATATGTATATGCAAATAACGCAAAGAAACCGGATGTCAAACGGAAATCGCACACTAAACATTTCCGCTGTGCTATTTACTGTGTAGTCTTTGAGAAAAGAGGGCAGTTAAAAATATATGCATGTATATATAAAATAAATCATGGAAAACAAGTGGTTATAATGTGAAATAATGCCACTTGTTGCTTTTAATTATTATGGCGATTTAAGTTAGTTACAGCGTATATGTTAATTAAGAGCTGTACATGTTCGTTATGTTATTATTTATGCAAATGAGTGCAAACACTAGGTATGGTAATCCCCAAAGCTTCAGATATATAAATTACCATAAGTTTATTGGTGATAAAAGTTTTGCCTGCTGCAGATGAGGTTTTCAAAGAAAAATATTTATAAAAACCATTTAGAAAAATTATTCTTAAAAATTAATATATAACAAACGTACAGTGGTTCGAAAAGCCAAAAACGTGGCCAAAATAGGAAAAAAAATTTGAATTGGGATCATTTAACACCTAAAATAGTTGAGTTAGTATGTCTACGAAACGACCCTTTTTGAGAGTCTATTGAGCACAACTGGCCGTTGGAAGCAGTTCTGGTCTAAGCGTCCGGTGCATCGAATCTCGCAAGAAAACACAATCTTCAAAAATGTCTCAATTCTCGAGATTTTAGAGTGTTTCAAATTTTTGTCATGGAATCGTCAGCTGTAGGTAAGTTAATTGAAAGTATATTAAAGACGTAAATTGAAATTTGTTGATAATTTCTTTATGAAATATTTGTAATAACACTTTAAAGAGATTAATTTGGTTGTTTTGCTGAAGAACCAAAAGACGTATGTGTACATTGTACAGAAAGAGCCGGCCGGAGAGGATTTACAACAAAAGGTGGTGATTGCAAAAGGTGTCTGAATGGAAGCCAAAAAGCCAACATCATATTATGATAATATCTTCATAAAAAAAAGCTCTACCAGAAAGAACGGAGTTTAGGACAGATTACAAGGTAGTGATTATTCTGGACAGAAACTTATGGCATACTATCGTATCGGGAAATTATTTTTATGCGGGACAGGCAAGACTAGATAATAGGACGGCTGGGGAGTGTAATTGATATTAGTAAGTACTTTCCTATACCGCATAACTGTATTGTTTTCCAGGAGCCGCTAGCTGTCTTGATGGTAAATTGTTTCAGTTTAATGGTACTCTG